CGTATATGATATCCACCCTGTTTAAAATAATAGATAGAATACGAGCAGATATTAGAATAGATAGAAATGATGTCGAATCGACATCGACATTGTCAAATCGATTCGACATCGATCGACGACCCCACTTCTCGCTGGGATTAGATGGCAATGCAGTCTCAATGTAAATCAACAAGACTCTTATTTATTTACATTGAAATTGTATGTAATGTAATCTGACCGTATTCTACCCAGATAGCCAAATCTGTCAGAAGAGATTTCGTCAAATGCCCACTATGAATTTTGCAGGCAGAAGGACTGCGGATTGCATACAGAAATTGATATGGTCGACATGTTATAACTGGACCCGTTCAGTTTCTGCCGACAATCTGTTGATAGCGTATGTTTTACAGACTCTGTTCCAAAAACAAAAGCCAAATGCGGACTATGGTTTTAGCGTGGGTTTCTGGTGAATCTGCTGCCAATCTGCTAACATTTTGCTGACTGGGTACCTAATATTTTAAACAGAGCTTTCGTCCAAAACGGACAAATGTAGAATGAAATTCAGACTATACAAAAGCTTCACTTGGAGACTCTGACAGAAAATGTATTTCTCCTCGCGAAAATATTTAGTGTGCGAGTACCTGCGGGATTTCAACGATCGCATGGAGGGTACGAGGGAGGGAATGTTCCTGGCGATCCCAGCACCTCAGTGCGAACCGGACGGAGCCTACAAGTCTCTGCAGTGCCACAATGGTACCAGCTGCAAGTGCGTGAACCACCGCGGGGTGATGCTGAAGACTGGACTGGACCCGGCCGCCCCGGCCGACTGCGAGGCCGTCAAGGAGCTCACGCGGGTCTGCAAGCGTCTGTACTGCAACCTGATCTGCCCGTACGGCTACGAGGTGGATGCAGCCGGTTGCGAGCAGTGCCGCTGCCACGAGCCGTGCCGCGACGTCACCTGCGACTCCCACGAGACCTGCACGATGATCGACGTCAACTGCGGCTCGAACGAGTACTGTCCGGCGGTGCCGGCGTGCCTCACGACCAAGCCGGGCCAGTGCCCGTACCTCGTACCAAGCTCGTCGAGCTGCGAGCTGCAGTGCAGCAACGATCAGGAGTGCCCGTCCGGTGACAAGTGTTGCTCGACCGGCTGCGGCACGCAGTGCGTGGCCCCGGTCATGGCCACGGCCTGCCAGCATGCTCGCGCGGTCGCCGAGCACGCCGCCAGGGAGTCGGGCGAGCCCGCGAGGAGGATCTACATACCAAGATGTGACGCCGACGGCGCGTTCGAGCCGGTGCAGTGCCACAACGGCATGTGCTGGTGCGTGGACGAGGAAGGCAAGGAGGCGGCGGGTACTCGGGTCCTCGAAGGGGTCGTGCCGCGCTGTAACACGCCCTTGAGATGTCCGGAGGTCGATTGCAAGCTCAACTGTCCGGACGGCTTGGAGCTGGACGCGGACACGGGCTGCCCGACCTGTCTATGCCGCGATCCCTGCCGCAGCGTCACGTGCCGCGGCGAGAACGAGGCGTGCCGGATGGTGGAGGTCGCGTGTAGCGCGCCGCCGTGTCCCCCGGTACCGGTCTGCCTGCCGAAGAAGGACAACCCGTGCCCGAACAGCTCGCCGCTGCTCGATCAGAACGGCTCGATCGCGATCTGCGGCCCGCACGGCCGTCACTGCCCCTCGACGCACAAGTGCGAGCTGTCGCCGTTGGACGAGTACGCGGTGTGTTGCCCGAAGCCGCGCGAGGTCTGCTTCGAGCCGCCCCGGAGGGTGCCCTGCAATCCGCACGCGGGCCTCAACGAGACCGAGAGGTGGTTCTTCGATCCGGAGCGCAACGAGTGCCGGCGCAAGCACGAGTGCACCCTCGGCCACAACGACTTCTCCAGCCGGCTGGTGTGCGACACCGTGTGCCCCGTGCTGTCGCAGTGCGAAAGGCTGCGCGAGAAGAACCTGAAGCGGTCGCAGCGACTCAAGCAGCCCACGTTCCTGCCCAAGTGCAATCCCGACAGCGGCACGTGGGAACCGGTGCAATGCCTGGAGCACGTCGGTGTATGCTGGTGCGTGAATCGCAAGGGTCAGCCGATCAAGGGCTCGCTGACCCGGGTCGCCGAGCCCAAGTGTAACTTCCGGCAGGCTAGACGCGGCGGCAGGAGGCCGGAGTCGCAGGAGATAGACCGCGAGATCCAGGCGGTCATGGAGGACGCTCTGCTCAACCTGGAGACGGACGAGCGACGAGTGGGGAAGATACTCGGGACCAGGTGCCAGGCGATGAAGGACAAGGGCCACGTGCCGGCGATATGCGATCCGCAGGGTAGATTCGAGCCCACCCAATGCGCCGGCGATACGTGCTGGTGCGTAGATGAAGCCGGCAATCAATTGATCGGGTCCGAGCCGTTCTTGAAGGGAACGAGCATTTGCCGTAAGTGAAGGGTTTCTTCAAGTGTAAAACGTTATTGCGATAACTGAGCTAGCGTGCGATTGCAATTGCAGTTAAATGTTAACTAAATTCTATCTTTTTATAAACGTCTTTTGTAGGAGGATTCTCGACGATTTAAACGTGGATCAGGGAACATTAAATGATATCGCATATCTTGGAATTAAAATTCTCATAAATTTTAACGAAACAATTTTCAACAATGTTATATTACAACGAACGCGACACATAATACCTGTTATGTTAATCTATTATATCAACACATTAAAGTGCCGACTCCAGTGGAGGCTGTCGACGTGACGCTACGCTTCCCCGGTCGGTTCCTCGCCAGCGACGAGACGCGATTCGTCCGGGAGGCCGAGAATTTTCTGCACGAGCTCGGCGCGCGGCTCCGGAAGGACGTGCGGGTGGAGCTCAGTCAGGACTCGGCGATCCTGAGCTTCGAGATCGTCGGCGCGAACAAGGTGGACGTGGCGTTCCACTTGGAGGAGCTCACGCGAATCCAGAAGCTGTCCATGCTGGGCTCGTCCGCGGACGCGACGACCTCGCGTTTCACGCATCGCTCAACACCCGTGGCGACGCAGAGCCGGATCGTCGCGCTGGAGCAACGTGAGATCCTCACGCAGATGGAGACGCCGTTCTATCAAACCGCCACGATCGTCCTCGCCGCGAGCAGCGCCTTCGTCATCAGCAGCCTCGTCATTCTGCTGATGCTGTACCGCAAAAAGGTAGGGACTCGGTGAAACTTTTGAGGTAACGGACGTTAAACTATTTATATTACACATCTAGTGTAATAGTTGTGATTACCTTAGTCTAAATTTTATTTCACTGCGAAATACGCCCTTGGCACGCTCGCGTGACAATTATTTGCAACGCTGGAAACGTCGATTTAAACAGTCCTGATAAATCGATTGCAGATGAAGCTAAAGGACCCGGCGAAGACGTTTTCCATGGACCAACACTTCCTCGCTTACAGCCAACAACCGGTTTACGTGATATCAAGAGCAGAGCAGAACGAGAAGGAAAAGGAGACCGCGGTGCAGCAGATGCTGGAGAGTATCCATACGTCGGACACCATCGCTGGAGCATAAGGCGCTTCTTGCGTAGGTAATTCGCACCTTGTACGATAGTGAGATTCTGAATTTTCTTTTTCCCGAAGTACTCAAAGCGATTCATGGAGATGTATCAGTCGAAGTCTCTACCATTTCCAGGGATAATAATATCTCTCTCTTTCTCTCTCTCTCTCTCTCTCTCTCTCTCTCTCTCTCTGTGTCACGGTAATTCTTACGCCTTGGTTCATTTCTGAAGATCCTTTTCATTTTTACGGAACAGAAATGTAATCGGAGTATAGGCCTGTGTCCACTGCTTGATCCAAATTCCAGTTCCGAAAAAATGTGTAGCCAATCAACTTGCGGCTTTTATGGAATAGCCTCAAGTTGATTGGCTACACATTTCTCGAAACATGGACCAAGTTCTAGCGTCGTGGACGCAGGCCTGTAGAGAACAATTTCTTGCAAAGGTACGTACGTCACAAATGTACACGGGGAGAGAACTTCTTCTTAAAATTTACCCTGAAAATCATGTATAATCAACGCGCCGTTTCGAAGGATTTTATGAGTTTTTTGAAATTTTACCATACATTTTACTAGTGATTTTACTTAGTATACACTTTACTAGTAGAATGTATGGTAAAATTTAAAAAAAAACACTCATAAAATCCTTCGAAACGCCACGTTGTCCCACGATTACATGATTTTCAGGGTAAATTTTAAGAGAAAATTCTCTCCGTGCAGATTTCTCAACGCGAGTCTTCCTTTTCGAAAAGTGTCTGTTCGAAACAGAATTGAATAATTGGGAACACATTTGTGCTTTCACAATTTTGAATGTCTTTTTATGTCTTTTATGTCTGTCACGTGGCCGAATTTGCTCTCAACCGTCAGTCTTGACAGCGGCTATTAGTAAACAGAATTATAAACGAAGGTACAAGAATTATGCAACTGGAAGCGCGAATTAATATCGTACACGGTATAACATACATCGTAGTCAGAACAATGTCATGTATATCTCACTGTCAGTCTCGCCGTAATTTATTGTCCACACGAGATTCATCGTTGCGGTCCACAGACTTGACGATCAAACAAATGCGATGCTTTTGGACCCGGTGTTTATTAATCAATTTCATAGATACATAAGCCTGTAGATTCTATATGAGCAACTGTCGAGACGTATCTGATATTATTCGCGTACGCGTAAAGTATAAGTCGTTCGTAAATTTGCTTAAGTAATTCTGATACAACATAAGATGGCTTGAAGATGTAATCTACGCTTCTCTAAAGTAAGATTTAAGATTCTTTCGCGAAATTGGAAACATTTGCCCGCGAATTACGAGTTTATCGATGGACATTAGTTTGATCGTCGAGGACCTAGGTATGGGAATTGATTTTATTATTTTCATTGGTATTTGTCTTCGTTACCTCTTCGATGTGGGAGTCATTAACGCAAGGTTTCCCTCGGTCTGGAGATCCCGAGGTGTAAAATATCATTACGTTAATACATCGCACGATTGTAAATAGATTATTATATTTATAGATTTATACTGTGTTCGATTATTTATATATATAGATGAATAAAGATCGGAATTCCCCTGTTTTCCAATAACAAGAGCGTTGTAAGCGTTGTACTCGTAAACTAATGTAGATTTCATTACCTTCCCCGTTGTATTAGGGTAAAATTGAAAAACGCTGTCAAATAATTGATTAGAAACACGATTTCCCTCAATGTTTCCAATCTTTTATTCCTTTGCAAAGTAAATTTTTTATGAATACGATGCCAAAAAGGAAAATTCTACACGGAGAGAATTTTCTCTTAAAATTTATCCTGCAAATTATTCCCTAGTGGCGCAACATATTGGCGCAATATTGGAAAATAATGTAATTCTAGTATTGTTGAATATTGGCCAATGCACTTCCAATATAAATCTAAAATTATATAATTATTATCGTGCAATATTTATATTTATTTCATGGCCAATATTGGGAAATACTATAAATCTAGTATTTCCAATATTGGTCCAATATTGGTCCAATATTGTAAGATGGACGCCTTTCCTTGTTTAGCCAATATGTCTGTTCAGCAATATTGGTCTAATATTGCAGCAATATTAGACCAATATTGTTATTACATTGTTAAATATTGGCCAATGCACTTCCGACATAAATCTAATATTATATAATTATTATCGTGCAATATTTACATTTATTTTATCGCCAATATTGGCACTACGTTGGACAATATCGACCAATGTTTATAGCTATAATACACTGTACTATTAGGGATGTGATTGTTGGACAACACAGCATTTTGAAGAACTTTGTGAGAGTTTTCTGAATTTTTATCATACATTTTACTAGTAAAATGTTTAGTAATTGTAAGTATACTACTAGTTAATGTACGGTGAAATTTGAAAAATCTCGTAAAATTCTTCGAAATGCCTTGTTGTCCCACGATTACATGATTTTCAGGGTAAATTTTAGGAGAGAAAATTCTATCCGTGTACTGTTTGCAATGAAGTTGTCAATAAATTTATAAATAGATTATTGCAATCATGTATCAACAGCTAGACATCAGCTGTTTACCTGAAGAAAGAATTCTAATAATTCGATCCTTGGATGTAATAATTTATAATTGAAATAAAATTTGAAATTGGCTTTATAAAATCCAAAAATTCTGAGATTAGCTAATCTCAATCATTTATAGTGATATTTTTAATTGCTTTTCGTATTTTTATATAAATTAATCGACTGTCCCTGGTTTCGACTTTATGCGTACTTTAAGAGGATGCTAAAGTCGTTTTTGCGCTGCTGAATCTTTTTATTACTTTTTACGCCTAAAATAATATCAGGATAAGTTGCGGACTGCATAGCAGAACGTATTTATACTTGAAACACTCGGGTCAGAAGTCTAATGAGAAAGATATTGGTATCTGAAATTTTCGATTTTTTAATCGTGAGCAATTTGAATTTGGCTTTATAAAATTACAAAATTCTTCCACGCGATTACAGTACGCGTAAAAACAAAGCGGGGGGTTCACGACTTTATATAAAAAACGAAGAGAAATTAAAAATATCAGCATGTGAAGCCTAACCACAATTACTTATAAAGCGATATTTTTAATTTCTCTTCGTTTTTTATATAAAGTCGTGAACCCCCCGCTTTGTTTTTACGCGTACTGTAATCGCGTGGAAGAATTTT